GCCCCTCCATTTATTCTTTTGCATATAGATATCCAATTGTCCCAGTACCATTTGTTGAAAAGATTATATCCTTTTTCCACTGAATTATTTTAGCAGCTTTGTAAAAAATCACTGACCGTAAATATAAGGGTTTACTGTAGACTCTCAATTCTGTACCATTGATGTACATGCCTGTCCTTCTGCCTCTCCTGATTACAATGGCTTTAGGGTAAGTTTTGAAATCAGGTAATGTTAAGTCCACCAACTTTTTTCTCCTCTTTCAAAACTGCTTGGGGTATTGTAGAAATTGACAAGTAGATCCTAAAAATTATACAGAAATGCAAAGGCCCTTGGTTTTCTGTTGCCTAACAATTTTAACCTGATGAGTTCTTCTCAAAAAGATAAACCATCAAGCAAACACTATAGATATCAAAAGATATGATTTGACTTAGGGTCCAATATTAACCTGTTAAGTGTTATAATTGGCTTTCATCTTTTTGGTTGTTAAATAAGTATTTCCTACTGAATTTGATCCTGGTCTTAAAAGTTTTGTTGCCTGGGTTACAGAAACCATTTCCAGAAGATAGGGGCTGAGGGACCTGAGAAGTATAGTCTACTTTACATGTGGGTGAGAAAAAAGCAGAGTGCTGGTTAATAAGATCTTACTGAGAAACCACTGTTCTTCTTAAATCATGGAAGCCAGAGCAAAGTCTTCCTTAGTGGAAAAGATAAACATATGTATAACCTGTGAAATCTGATGTTATGAATTACAGGGCTTGTTAACCTTCCCAGACTGATGAATACACTCACCAGTGACAGGGCTGCTCTACCATTTAAGTACTTGTGTGATCTAGAGCAAGGTGATTAACTTCTTTAATCCTCAAATTCCTCAGCTCTAAAATGGGGATTACAGAGCTATCTCATAGTGCATCAGAATTAAAAAGAATAGAGAAGGGCCGGCCCAGTGGCTCAGTGGTTAAGAGCTTGCTCAAGAGTGTGAGCTCTGAGCAACAGGGTAGCCAGTTTGATTCCCGGCCCGAGCTGAGCTGCTGCTGAGCTGATGGCTCAGCTAAAAAAAAGAAAAAGAATAAGGAAAAGTTCTTGGCACATACACAGGCTAAACAAATGATAACCTTAGAAAGACTTTTGATTCCAAATGTTAAATACTGTAAGAAACTAATTTCTTCAGGAAACAAAAAAAAACGCTATAGAAATAAATTTTTAAAAAGAATCCAAGAGAAAATTTTTGCATTTATCTAATAAGGAACTTGTATCCAGAATGTATAAAGAACTATTACAACTCAATAATTTAAAAAAGCAATTAAAAAAATGGGAAAAGGATTTGGATAGTTCTCCAAAGAAAACATACAAATGGCCAATAAGCACAACGAAGTTATCAAAAAATAAACAAAAATTATGTGTGAAATCAAGCTTAAAATTATGGCCTCATATTTTTTTCATTTAAAGGCTTATGTTCATTTAAATGATAGCAATATTATGGAAAATGCTCTAGTTATAATTCACAGAATTCATTTTAATGGAGAGAGAAATGTAGATATATTTTATTAGCAAAATTAAAATAGAGTAAGGAAACAAATAACCATCAATTTTTTTCTTTAGGCACTTACCAAAGTGGTAAGTTTTATTCACCTATAACCAGAAGAAATTGAATCAGTATATAAAACCTAAGAAAAAATCACATTGCTCGGAATTTGTTTTCTTTAAACAGCTCCTTTTGATTTAAACAAAATATGCAATGGCCAAACAACTAAAGTCACAGTAATGGTAACTGCTTAAATTAGACATAATGAGTAAACAGTATCCTAATGCCAAATGTTGATGCTGAGATTCGCTGCTAGTATTTTATTGCTATTTGCTAATGGTAGTTAGGCCTATCGTTTTTTGTTTTGTTTTTGCCAACTCTGAAAAATAATTAAGCAATTATGGTATTCTTTTAATATTAAAAGGGGCATTTGCTGGTCTACCCAACACAAGACATAGTAAAGCCCATTCACTAAATAATAGTGAACAGCCACTTTAATTGTAATATTTCTCTACATGATTTCTAACAGTATAATATGTACCTAGCTTAAGTATAATAATAAAAAATGAAAATTTCTTATTATCGTTTTAATAAATATAGACATATTAAAACTGCCTGAAACTTACTGTTTACCTTTATACTACTAAAATCTCTTCCTCCACTTGGAAAAAAAATAGCAAAATCCATCTCTCTCTCCTTCCTTGAGGTTATAGAAAAAGAAACTCTATGAGTCAAATTCCCATTCCTGGAAACAACAGGTTAATTTCACTCCTTTACATAAATGTTAAGTCTATCAGTAGTACATGCAGGATGAGTCTGTTAGGGGTATGATACCTCAGGGAAATATATTTTGAAATTCTCTAGAAGACCAACTGCCTTCACATTGAATAAAATGATATACATTTCTATTTAAAAACTGTTCAGTTTTCTGATTAAATGTTGATTTTTAAAAGGTGTTCTGGAAGACACGTGCTTTTTAGAAATCAAATTTTAGTGTAAATGGAGACTTTTTTATAAGTTACCGTAAGTCTGGTTTAAAACCCTAATATCAATCAGAGATGGTGGTATGTGGTGGTAGATGCTAAGATGATGAAAGAATGTTATTAGTTTATATTGGTCCCAGATAAAGAAAATATTAATCTGGGCTGGCCGAGTGGCGCGTTGATTAAGAACTGGCTTGGGATGCCAGAGGGCCCTGGTTCGGATCCCACATATGAGGGCCAGTGACACTGCCCTCTACAGCTAATATGCTGAACAACAGCTCAATCTGGAGCTGGGCTGCCGTGAGTCGCCGGCGATGGCGTAGGCTGCAGCCCCTGCTGCAGTGGGTTGCCATGAGCTACTGTGTGTAGCCAGCAGCCAGCATGAGCGGGCAGCAGCCGCCATGAGCAGCCGTCCAGAGGCCGGCGACTGATCCGCCTCGCAGGGGAAGAGCGCAATGATGGTGCCAATTTGGGCCAGTGAAGCAACGTCCTCCACAACTAGACTGAAGAACAAACCAACAGCAACTTGCCTGTTCCCCTTCCCCGATTCCCCAGTGCTGTTCCCCTCCCCTAATTCCCCAATAAAATCTTTAAAAAAAAAAAAAGAAAATATTAATCTGAAGTTACGAGGGGTAATACTTGGATTTTCCTTAAAAAAAGAAAAAAGAAGTTAGAGATGAAGAGAAGGACAGAAAGAGATGATCAGGAGAGAGAATCTTCAAGTTGGAAAGGCAGTCAGGAAAGACTCATGTGGTGGTGTGTGCAACAGATGTATCACTTTCTTTTGGCTCCAGCACGTTTGAGAAAAGAGGAGAGGCACAGGAGAGACAACCTAGTTACAGTGGTGACTTTGCAGAGAAAAATTACCCGCAAAGGCAAGCTCAGGCCTGGCTATAAGATGAGGCACTTGAGTTTTCCAGGAGTGTGAAAGTCACAGGCTGCAGCTGGCTCTAAGATCTGGAAAACCCAGCCAAGTACCAAAGTCATGGATATGCCCAGGTTCTGACCCAGTTAAAAGAGTAAGGATGATCCGTAAGAAGTGTTCTCTTCAAGATGAAGTATAATGTCAAGGTCATAATAAATAGTGATTAGTTAAAGAAGCTAAGGAATCCAGGTGTTTGTTTCTTTAAAACTAATATTTTCGCTATGTTTTAATCAAGAGTTTCACTTTTGTGAAAATGAAAAAACTGACGATAATTTAGTTGGAAAATGTGCTAATCTCTTACTCAATAAAGTACATCTCTAAGACTAAGCCCTAACCAAGTGACTCTGCTGGCTAATGTTCCTAAGAAGCCCCAACTGCTAACCTAAATCTATCCAAGTGACAACACATCTTAGACGCTGAACAAACTCTTACATTTCTGTCCATAACCTAAATCCCTTTGATTTCTTTAAAATAAAATATAGTGCTTGCCAACAAACGGAGTAACTATGTGAAAGGCTGAAACATTCAAATCCATAGGTCTCTGTACAGCAAAGCATAAAGTATATTAATGAAATTTTGTACACAAATATACTGCAGCCATTAAGTCTCACTGGAATAATAATAATTTCAAAGAAATCTTTTCCCTTGTAAAACAAATCCCAGAGATCAGGCTCTAAAGGGTCAATTTCAAAAATCTGAGGGGCAGAATTTGACCCATTAACAAATATAACTATGAGAAAAGTACCAACTATAGGTATTTCCCACTAAAAGCTGTAGTGTTATTTAGAATTAAGACTGTAACACTCTCGATTCATTTTATTTGGGGAGAGTTTGATTATGGAGTACCTAAAGGAATCCATAACTTTTCAACTATAGAAATGCACATACTTTCCTCTGGGTCCTCACTGGCTACAACGCCGCTCGGAAGTCCCTGTACAGCAGTTCGTGACTCAGTCGTAGAGTGATGAGGTCCTAGGCGACTGTCCCTCTGGGCTTCCCACTCGTCGCTGAAGCCGCCATCGTCATTCTCTGTCACAGGGTTTTGTGGCTCATTCCCTGTGCCTTCAAGAAAAAGTGGAAATGCAGCTATAATATTTAGAAACCTTTATTAATACTTTTAAGTACATGGAAACAGTAACTACTTGATCAACACTGCTACTAGGTTAGCTGGCTCTTAAACCACGAAGCACGGGCTGCAGGAAGGTCTGCTGGCTGCTCACCCAACAGCCATTTCTCCCCCTTATTCCCGAGGGCCAAGTTCTGATTTGTTGGGTTTCCACCTCTCACTCACAGGACTCTGGTGGTAAATTCTGGTCAATCCAAGCCAAACGTGGTAATTCCATCATTCCTCTCCCCAGTGGAAGTTCTAAGGCTGTGGGTTTGCTATTAGTCATGTGTGATGAGGCAAGTCTGCTGGGAATTTGGGGGGGAATTTTTTCTCACACTTTAAGAGAAACTTAGGAAGATACAAACCATCCCTTTCTTCCCCTGGATGTTGTCTTATCTGGACATGATGTCTGGAACTGCACTTGTGGGCTGAGGACCAAGCCTATACCGAAGGATGGTAGAGCAGGAAGATGGAAAGAACCTGGGCCCTTGATAACACCAATGAGCCACAAAATTAACCAGCCCTACAAATGTCTACACCTCAGGATTCTAGTCATGTGAGAGAACACATTTCTTCTTTGTTTTTTTATGTTTGCAGCTGAAAGCTTCCTAACTGATGGCACTCACCACTGGCTTTAGTGACTAAGTAACAAAAGTAGACCATGACTGGGGGGAGGAGGGAAGAGAAAGGAGGGATGCATTTTGTATGGGCTACTCGTTTTGTTATAATGAGTCAGTCTGACTGAAAATTATGAGCATAACATGATAGTCTTGCGAACCTTCCACATATCAAAAATAATTAAAATATGTAAGTTGATAATGTTTTTCCCCTCCTTTATTTTTTTTATAACAGTGATACATGTTTATAGCGGAGGTTAATTTACCATGAATACAGCTTGTACACTTTAGGCCTCTCACTTGCATGGGCTTTCTCTGGGAAGGGTTCTTGCAATTCTGTATTTGTAATTTTATTCTTTTTCTTAACCAGGTCTCCTGAAATACTCCCTGGTTTGGAGTTTATGAAATCATAAGCATAAGGTTTATAAATAAAAACAGCAATTTTCTTTAGCTTATCACAGGTTAACACGATAACCAGACTTGTAGCAGTTGTTCCAATATATTGTATTTCCTACTTCTCTACCAGGTCTACTACTGGTATAATGTCACCTTGTTCTGCTGCCTTGCTCATGCAGAATAGGCCTGATACCTTTGGGTCCCATAAAGGGACTCTCAGGTGAAAGTGTCCTCATCACAGTTACCCAAATGCTAAACCAGTTTTCTTGGCTCTATAAAACCCAAACTCTTCCTTTCCTGAAAAACAGCAACTTATTTAAGGCTCTTTTCTCTCACCAACCTTTATTCTGCCTATTTTTCAGCTTCCTCATAAGGTTAGCCTCTTGTTTTTCTTTTAAAAGTTTCCTTTCTTCTTAACCACCGTATTTGCCGGCGTATAAGACGACTGGGCGTATAAGACGACCCCCTAACATTTCCACTCAAAATACAGAGTTTGTTATATACTCGCCGTATAAGACTACCCCCTCTTCCGCACACCTTCCACACACCAAATAAAAGGTAAAACAATATCAGATTTGATTTCAACATTTTAATTTATATTCAAATGCTTATGACATGCAGGAAAACTGTCACAAGGCTGTATGTAATCAAACATATACATAAAACAGTGCAAGTTTATTACCGGTAAACATACCGGTAATTCACTAAAGAAAACACACTCTATAGACTGGTACCGTAGATTTTGCGAGTGTGGTAAAATCGCATAACAGCAAAATCGCATAACAGCCGAGCATACACCCAGCAGCGCTGCTGATGCCTGAACGGTATGTGGAATGAAGTGGGCGGGCATCGGGAGGCCACTATGGCACGGGGCAAGCACTATGGGCAGTCTATCTGAAGTGTACCTGGCGTATAAGACGACCCCCCACTTGGAGGCATATTTTTCAGGGCCAAAAAATCGTCTTATACGCCGGCAAATACGGTACTGATTTTGTTTTATTATTCAACTCTTTCTAATAACAGCTCCTAACTTGTGTTCTCCTTAACATCTTCTGTGGTACCCACGAGTGGGCCTTCCTATCTCCTATCCTAGGTCATCATTATTATCCTCCTCCAAAAAGCCATGTCTGCCTGGAATATTTTTCATCTTCTCAGTATAAACATTACCACATTGCAAATAAAATTCTATTTAACTTACTCTGGCCATGTCAGATAAGAGGTTCTCATTTTTAACATGTTTGGAGAAAGAGCTTATTTTTTCTTTTAAAAATCATAGCCTCGGGCTGGCCGAGTGGTTCAGTTGGTTAAGAGCTCGCTCAAGAGTTTGAGCTCTGAGCAACAGGGTCGCTGGTTCGATTCACGGCCCGAGCTGAGCTGCCGCTGAGCTGCCAACAGGTGGCAGGATGGCTCAGCTAAAAAAAATAAATAAATAAAAATCATAGCCTCAACTTAAATCTTTCCATACTTGTATTAATGGTATTTAAGGGCAGGAATTCTTCATCTAGGGTTCCTTGGCTGTACTGTAACATCGGAACTCCTTACATATTTAGGTTATTACCACAACTTTTAGGAGATTCTCAAAGGAATCTATGATCAAATCATTGCTTCATAACTCACTGCTAGCCTCTAAAATGACAATGATCCTGAAAACCAGGAAATTACCAAATAAAAGTCACCTACTCTGTACATTATAATTGGAGCTTCGGGGGACCTTCCTCTGGGCTTCTGGGTCTCCTTTTGCCATATTCACCAACCACACCATTGTTGCTGTTGAGAAAGACAAAAGTCAAGGTAAAAACTGTAAACACAAAAGGAAAATGCACAAATAGATAACAGGCCATTAGTTCTCCACACAAATCACCAATCTTCTTAGTGTTGCCTTAAGAATCCTTAACAATCAAAAGTAAATGCATATTAAAAACCACAAAAAGTTCTCTTTGATTTGGGCATTAAAAAAACATTCTGAAACTGTTTACTGTAGCTTTCAAATTGCAGCTGCTATTGTAAAACTGTCCATCATCATTTACAGTCTGTGAAAAGTAACCAAAAGGAAAACTGTTCAGGCCAGCAATAGCTGGACTATTTGAGACAATAGCTGGACTATTTAAATATCCTAAAATAGTGTGAATTCACTGATGAAAATTACTTCTTGGAACTAAATTAGAGGAAAAACTAGGGCTCACAAAAGCATCAGATGATTATTGTAACTCTAAAAATGCGTGGAATACATTTCCTTCATATTATGTCTCACTTCTGGGATTTTCAATAACGCTAAACTGTATTATACATAGGGAATAAGATAAAAAGGTTAAAAGCAATAAACATAAAGGGGAGAGTCAATTGGCCTCTTCTATGTCCCTTCCACACATATACACACAAAATACAGATAGATAGATAGATAGATAGATAGATAGATCAATCGATCAATTGATGGATCTAGGTATACACACACACCTTTATCACCTTTTAGTTAAGAAACAATATGAATACTTTAATATGGTGCTTCTCATATATTGCAGCTGGAATTAAAAATGGTATAACCCCAATTGGAGGGAACTTGGTAACATCTCACAGAACTACATGTGCATTAACTCTTCGACCCAGGAATACCACTTTTGGGAATTTATCCTGAAAATACACCAATTAAATGACATAAAAATACATATAATCATGTGCCATACAGGGCTACAGCAGGAACCAAATTCTAGCAGCAACCTGAGTCCATAGTAAGCAAGTTTAAACAAGATACTTGGCATCTATGTCTCTCTGGCTTTTTATCACTGGTTTTATAATTATACCCATGGTCATAATACTCTTAGGCTTCTTGAATAACTTATTAAAGAAATACATGACCAAAAAGGCTGAAAATTCTATAGTTGGTATACTTATTCATTCATCATGGCTTTGTAATTTTGAGGTCAAACAAACAAGTTTCATTATATGATAACCCAACTAACTGATCAAAGTCAACATAAGCCAGGCAGGCAATACACTGTTCAACTAAATCCAAACCCAAATAAGAGAAACAGAAGGGCAACCACCACATACAAGGCTTAGAATTTCTGGAGCCTTCTTGTCAATAAAGTCAGCAGTTGTTTATCTGATTTTCTTTCTTCAGGCAAGCATTGTATTGCTACCAACCCTTTTGTTTTAATCAGGGGTCAGCAAACTTTTTCTGTAAAGGGCCAGACAGCAAACATTCTGGGCTTGTGGATCACATCTGGTCTCTGTCACATATTCTCCTTTGTTCTTGGTTTTTATTCTTCTGCTCAAGAGCATCCTGTGCTTCCCCAGCGATCATGAAAAGCGTACAGAGATCTACACCAGTCACTCAAAGCTATTTTTGATCTTACCCTAATCTGCCTTTCCAAATGCTTCCTGGTCCTCTCCCCATTTTGTGATCCATATTCTAGTCAAACTGAATGCATGAAATCTGATAAGAGGCCCCACACTTTCATCTCCAAGCCATTCTTTGTGACAAGCCTATTTTTGGAATCAACTCCCATATGTACTTGCTGAAATCCTACTCATCTTAAAAGGTTCAATCCAAATGCTGTCTCTTCCACGAGGCCTTCCCTGATTCCCCAGCCAGAGTTTCCCTCTTTTGAACTCTCTACACTTTGATCGTGTCTCTTCTGAATCTGATAACATTCTGTCTCGGATGTTGCTTGTTCATATACTTGTCTCATCTTACTTCTAAATTGTAAGCAAACGAGCTCTGAGTAGCATAATCATCTTTATGTCCTCCATAGTGCTCTGTGGGAGCAGATTAGGTCAGTGCCCAATAAATATTTACTGAATAATTAGGAAGAGTATTCCTATAAACCAAAAAAAAAAGGGCAAACATTCTGAGGGAACAGTCCAATTCTTTCATAAGCACGGGCAAGCTTCACCTGCAATATATGTATATAACAAGTACTCAATAACACTTGACAATTAAGATGTTAAATGAGCATAACTGCTCCCCAATCTCTAAATATTTCTTCTTGCTCTCTTAAACCAACATCACATAGAAGACAATTTGCAGGGAAACAGAGATTTGCAGAAGTGCCATTAATACATTTAAGATGAGAAAAAGCACCATGATAATGACTATAGCTACACATGTTTGAACTCCTATAAATTCTAAGCTGTTTACTAATTTAACATCATTCCAACATACTTACAGGAGTAAATGAGAGCTGGAAAGAGAGTTTCATTTCTCTCCTGAGCTGTTTCAACCAGCATACGAAGTGGGCCTTTGGGACACAAAACAGCCACTAAATCTAGAAAAAGAAAAACAGAAAAATCTGAAAAAATGTATTGGCTAAATTTGTAAAAGGCTGTGTTATAGGGAGGAATTAACTAATGGAAAAGGTTGACTTTTTTTTTTTTACACAAAAGGATGTTGAAAGAGTATGAAATAAACAGCAGGCAAACTGATGGGGGACACAACAACCTCAAAAAATACATAAAGCATGCAGAAGATCTGGGCAAATTTCATTTTGGTTTTGATGCTATTTGGTTAGTTTAATGTATCATCATTGGGTTCTATGAATAAGTCTTCTCAGTTTGAAGCCAAGAGGCAGAGATAATGACAAGACAGAACTATTTTAGAACAGTTGTCAATTTCCAATAAGTAGAACCAAGAACAAGTCATTATCAACCCAATATCTATGAGCCACAAATAGAGGCTTTAAGAGGAATTTAATAGAGGGGATTTGATTGAACTTTTCAAAATATAAAGAGAAGAGATTCATCCCCTCTCTTTTTAAAAAATAGTAACTACTTAGGGGTATTTGAAATAAGAGGGCCGTAAATTTAAACAAAACATAATAACTAATAAACTTTTCCATGAGAAAATTTAGTGGTTTTTAACTTTAAATACATTTTTATTACACAAAAGTTATCACATAATTGGATATTTCTTTAGTTCTGTCAAAAGCACTTCACAAATATTCAGGTCCTATAATACATGTGGTGCTGAAAAATGGTTTATTTTACAAAAACAGTGACTCAGAGAGGAAGCAATATGCCTCAATTATTCTTAATTTTACCACCATCTCATTCCATCAATTGTAGTTTTTCTTATGTTTTCTGTGTCATAAAAATTCACAAATAGAAATATAGAAAATAATTTCAAACATTTAAAAATATAGAACAGGTATAGCTAAATTTTTTTAAAGACTTGATACACCTGAAACTAATAATAAAAAAAAAGAGTTCAAGATAATTAAAAAAAAAAGACTTGATAGTTTATGTTGACATTACTATCATTCAGATGCATTTAAGTAAAAAACCTTATGCCTGCCAAGTGGTGATGTCTTCTTGTATACTATTACTACTAAATAATAGACACACAGAAATTGCTACCCTCACTGCTTTCAATTTGATTTGTTTTAGATAAGAAAATGGAAATTTGCTGTGCTCCAAAACAATGAGATTTTCAACCTGTTTGAAGCTGCCATGTCCTGTAACTATCTTGGTTTTATGACACACTCCCCCTTATAGAATTGCTAAATAATAAACTCCCTTATTTCTAGAGCGATTAATGTGAATTTAATTTTGTTTAGAACCTTTGTGACAAATTAAAATATCTTGAGACCTTGTAAAAATGAAGTTGAGAATCATTACTCAAAAAATTGGATACGAAAGTCTTTTATTTTAAAGGAACTCAAAGCTCTGAAGAGGTAATTATTTGTATCATGTTTGGAAGAAACTGAGAATTGATAGAAGAAATAGCATAATGTAGTAGAAAGAATATTGGACTTGGGATTCCAATTCTACATCATAGTGAAACCTTGTGCAAATACTTTACCTCTATATACATCAGGTTTCTTAGCAGTAAAACAAGGATAACCGCCTTGCTTACTTCACAGTATTATATAGTAAAAAAAATAACAGCTAATATTTATTGATATACTGTTTTAAGTGTTATATGTATTGTTCAATTTAACCTTCACAATAACTAAGACTTAGGGGTTGAATAATGTGTCTGTGGTCACAAAGCCAATGAGTGACAAAAGCAGAAGAGCCTGGATTTGAACCCAGGCAGTCTGTCCCCAGAACTAGCATTTTTTTTTAATATATATAAAAAATGGAATCAGGGCAGCTGGATAGCTCAGTTGGTAAGAGCACGAGCTATCAACAACAGGGCCGCCGGTTCAGATCCCACATGGGCCAGTGACGCTGCGCCCTCTACAGCTAAGATTGTGAACAATGGCTTGACTTGGAGCTGGGCTGCCATCAGTCGCCAGCAGCCAGCGTGAGTAGCCAGCAGCAGGTGAGAGCTGCTGTGAGTCGCTGTGAGCGGGTGGCCCATGGCTGGCAATTGACTGCCTCAGCCAGGTAGAGTTGAATGATAATACCAACATGGGCCAGTGAAGCGACATCCTCCACAACTAGACTGAAGAACCAAAGGACAGCAACTTGTGTGTTCCCCTCCCCCAATTCCCCAATAAAATCTTTAAAAAATAAATAAATAACCTAAAGTCATTATGAAAGTCAGGCATAGAGAGTAATGACTTCTATAGTTCTATATAGAACGGAACAATACAATTCTATTTCCACAGACTTTTTCTTTGTCAATCAAGTGGGGATGATGAGTTTCCTATTATAGGTCACCTGACATTTCAACAAGCATTTGTATAGGGATAAAAGAACACTGCCTACTTATAATATAGAAACCACACGCTGACCTCTGAAAATGGCTCTCTTTTGGCGTCCATGCAGGGCAACAGCCACAGAGCACACACCTGTTCAGCTGCCTTGGTTATTCATGGCTAGGGTACATTCTGACTGTTCAGGACCCATGGAACACTGGTTAATGAATTTGAATTTCACACTGCCCAAATAAGTTTTCTTTTTGAAAGAGTAATTCTACCCAAGTTGCCTTATAAAAAGTAGGTAACCTAATTGAGCATTTTATATGTATTAAGCACTTTGCTATCATTTTTCACCATACATTCTGAACTTGTACAACTTTAGGAAGCATTGTTCTCATTATTCAAATGAGGAAACTGAAGTTCAAAGAACCTGAGTAACTTTCCTAAAGTCCTAAGGCTGTCAGTGATAGGAATGGGATTTGACTCTAAGTCTTCTGACCAGAAAGAAGTCTATGGATTCTTCCACTAATCTGTCACTGAGTAAAACTGGGGACAGTAATAACACATTTTTAAAGAACTTAACCTCAAAAACATAAAAACCTTTATATGAAAAAGATACCATAGCTAATTAATTATTTACTGAAGACTTATGGGGTATAACCATTATCATTTTCATAAGTCAAGATAACTGGAAGAGGAAGGAAAACACACCAGTGAGGTATTTCTGTAACAAACACAACGTCAGTCTTGGGTTTTACCATATACTGAAATCACAGCCAAGATGAGCCATGCAGTCCACTCTGGGAGGTACTTGATAAACACCAGGGCCATGAGGGCACTGATCATAATGAGATATGCCTGCTGGAGTCGCAGTGGACCTTTCCAATGAATGGCAATCATTCCCACCACACCAAAATTCCAGATCAGGAGCGCAACAGTAATGTAGTCCATGGCAACGTTATAGGTTTTAAACACTTCCCTGAAAATAATTACATAGAGATGTAAAAAGATTTATGTACAAGTTTCATCAAAACATTGTTTAGAACTATGTTCCCAAACATTAGATATTCATATCCTACACCTTCATATTTTTACCATATCTATATCAACAATGCTATTATTTAACACTTCTCTTTAACTTTTTCCCTCAAGTTGAGCTTATTTTAACAGAAAACTGTATAATTCATATAAATGGGAAACTGGTATCACAGACCATAGTTGTAAAAATAAGTACAAGTACAAAAACGAAAAAAGGCTATAGACCACCTAAAATACCATTCTGTGCTTTGGGAAACCCTCATTTAAAATAACTGAAATATAAAAAATTAAACATGTGCAATAAAATTTATAGCCAGAATGTATATTATTTTCCTAAAATGAAATTTAGTGCAGCCATCAAAAAAACGTGTGTATTTTGATGTAACTACAATATTGCCACAGGGACATGAAAGAGAGTTCGAGGAATATAATAATGTAAATATTTTGTAGGGTGTCAGGTGGTCACATGTCTTGCTAGGGAGACCGCATCATGGAGGGGGTAGAGGCTTGATCACTGCACTGTACACCTCAAGCTGATGTTGCATAATATTGTATGTCAACTATAATTGAATATATATATAGTCAGGGACATGGAGTATATAGTGTGGGAGTAGAGTCAAGGGAATTGTAATAGATATGTATGATATTGGGGGGGAAGTGGGGCGGCGGATTGGGGGAGGGGGGTTGTCACCTCGAGGGGTAAAAAGTATAACTATTGCACTGTGCTGTATAGCTGAAACTAATTCTAAAAAATGTGTATTTCACAATAAAAAATAATTTTTTAAAAAAGTGTGTATTTTGTATATACATACACAAATGTGGAATATAGACATGACACACTGTTGCCTGAAAAAAAAAATGATCTCATTTATGAAATAATGTGTGAGTAGTGAGTGCAATATATCGATATAGTAACTCCTGAAAAGATGCAGGACTTATATTCAGATAGATGATGGGAGTCTGGTCATTTTTTCACTTTTTTCTTTTTCTTTATAATCTTGTGAAATGTTTCCTTCTCTCTCTCTCTCTCTCTCTCTCTCTCTCTCTCTCTCTCTCTCTCATGTCTCTTGTCTCTGTCTGCAATAACGTTTAGTCGTTTTTGTAAGGAACAAAACACTATTTTAACTTTGGGGGATAAAATTCCACCATCTAAAAATAAAGAGATTGCAAGTATAGAAGATGCCTTTGCATAATTGAAGAGAAAGCAATCACTCATTTAAGCACAAACTTTGTGTGCCGAGACTATCCAGAAAAACAATTTTTCCATTTTGAAATCTCAAAATAAATGTTGACATTTCTAGACAATGTAGCTATTTGTATTAAGCATTTCAGATATCCTAGCACTCAAAAAAACGAAAACCCCAAATTATTATTAATCTTTGGCTAGGTAATACATGTATAAAATATAAAATTCCCAATACATGTGAAAAGTTTTTTCTCCCCACCTTGTCCCACAGTACCCCTCTCCAAAGGAAAGTACTATGATTAATTCCATGTGTATCCTTCCAGCGATTGTCTATACCTATCATATACACTTTATTAGATATAAATAACAGCATATTATATACACTGTTCTATACCATGCTTTTTTCTCTTAACAGCAGTCAACGGAGATCTTTCCACATTAGTATATCAGAGCTGCCTCATTCTTTTTAATGGCTTTACTCAATAAATGTACCCTAATTTATTTAACCAGTTTTCTATTGATGGACATTTAGAGTGACTCCATTATTTTGCTATTAGAGACAATGCTACAATGATTATTCCTACAAATTACTACATTCAGGACATATGCACTTAAAATTTTAACAGATATGCCAAACTGCTCTTAAAAGTTATAAACCAATGTGTGTTTGTTCATTTCCCTGCAACCTGATTATCCCAACACCAATTACTAAATAACCCATCTATAGCCTACTGATTTTATACTACCTTTATCTTATATTCCATTATATATTGGAACTTTTTAAAAAGTCTAATATTTTCTACTGCTCACCTATTCATGGTGCAGGTGTCCTCTATTTTTTTTTTTTTTTTTGCTGAGCCATCCTGCCACCTGTTGGCAGCTCAGCGGCTACTCAGCTTGGGCCAGGACTCGAACCGCTGTTGCTCAGAGCTCAAACTCTTGAGCGAGCTCTTAACCAACTGAGCCACTCGGCTGGCCCTTCCAGGTGTCCTATTTTAATTAGTGTAGGTTCATTATAATTTCATATCAGGTAGGACTAGTATCCCTTCATTTTTCTTTTTTCAGAATTCTTTGGAATAACTTCACTTAGTAATTTTTCTAAATAAACTTAGAATTTTCTTGTCCAGATGAAAAATAAATTCTGTTTATATTTTTGTTGGACTTATATTAATTTTTACAATATACTTAGCAAGAACTGAAATCTTTATGATACTAAGTCTTTCTATATAACCTGGTATAACTTTCCATTTGTTTAAGTCTTCTAAGGCCTTCAGAGGTATTTAAAAATTTCTTACTAACAAATCGCGCACAATTCTTGTTTAATCCTAGGTATTTTGTCTTTTTTTGCTGCTATCATAAATGGGATTTTTTCCTTTCATTATGTTCCCTAACTAGTGTCTTCATGAATGCTACTTAATTGTGTTTATTAATTTTGTATTCAGGTGCGTTGCCAAATTTACTTAGTGATTCTAATTGCCTTCTGGTTAGTTCTGAAACTAAGTACACAATCATTTTATCTCCAAATACTGGTAATTTAACCTTCTCTTCCAAACTGTATAGCTCTTATGTCTTTCTCTCATTTAATTGTGCTCTATTCCCTCCAGAGCAATGTCAGGCAACAGTACTGAAGAAGGAAATTCTCATCTTGTTACTGATATTAATAGGCATGCTTCTAGTTTCCCTGTGAGGACAACTGACTTTTAGAAGAGATTTATTCATTTTATCATGTTAAAGAAGTAACCATGCATTTGTTTTATTACAGAATTTCATCAACAACAGGTGTTAAATTTTATCAAATGCCTTTTAGCATGTACAGAGATGATGACCTAGAAATATTGTGACTTATATTGAAATTTGCTAATAATGAACCAGTCTTCCATTCTGCAAACAAACCCAATTGGGTCATAAGGTAATATTTCTTCAATGTATTGCTGAATCCTACCTGTTAATATTTAGTCATTCTTTTGATATCAATAAATAGGGTTGGTCTACAGTTTCTTTTTTCTTGGTAATTTATAGGGTTTTAGTATCAATGTTATGCTGGCTTCATAAAATGTTGTACAGTTGTTATTGGTGGACGTAGGATGAGAACCTCTTCAACAACTTTCTGTATTTTGTGCTATATTTAGATTTTCTATTGCATCAGTGGTCAGTTTTGATCATTTTTTCTAGAAAATCATCCATTTCACATAGATTCTCACATTTGTTTCTTTTGTCTGTCATTTTCTTCCAACTGGCTCTACCAAACTCATCAATTTATTTATTAGTTTTATTGCTTCTGTTCCTAATTTAAGAGCTAGTGCAATGGTTTACAAGCATTTTCTGCCACTGCTGCTGAGAGAAAGGCCAGACTGGCAAATCTCTGAGACACTCTGTTCCCTTCAAGAGAGCAGCTCTGCTCTTTCCTACTTTTTTTTTTTTAAGATTTTTTTTATTGGGGAATTGGGGAGATGGGAACAGCGCTGGGGAATTGGGGGAAGGGGAACAGACAAGTTGCTGTCCTTTTGTTCTTCAGTCTAGTTGTGGAGGATGTCGCTTCACTGGCCCAAGTTGGCACCATCATTGCGCTCTTCCCGGGCGAGGCAGATCAGTCGCCGGCTTCTGGACTGCCGCTCACTGCGGCTGCTGGCCGTTCACGCTGGATGCTGGCTACCCACGGTAGCCCATGGCAACCCACTGCCACAGGGGCTGCAGCCTATGCCATCGCAGGCGACTCATGGTAGCCCAGCTCCAGGTTGAGCTGTTGTTCAGCATCTTAGCTGTAGAGGGCAGTGTCACTGGCCCTCATATGTGGGATCTGAACCGGGGCCCTCTGGCGTCCCAAGCCAGTTCTTAACCATCGCGCCACTTGGCCAGCCCCTCTTTCCTATTTTATATGTGAAATTTTCATGTAAGATTTCATTTGGAAAAAAAATAATCCACTGATGAAACAATATAAGAGTTTGAAAATTAATTAAATCATATTTATATACTTTCTTGAAATACTTTCTTAACATTCTGATTCATAGATTTCTACTAGAAGTAAAGAATACAAAAAATTCTTTACTAAAGGAAGTAAATAAATTCTTCACTAAAACAGACTTAGAACTGACTATAGTTTTGAGTTCTTTTGGTTCTACTTATTTATAAGTAAGGATCAACAAAAGAATATCTCTATCGATAATATTGTCTTCTATATACCAAGTATGACCTATATATGGAAACAATTACAATTTAAGAGTAGTTCATCAATAAAGGAAATGACTTTAAATGATAGCGAGCCCAAACATTGTTAATTTCTGAAAAGTAGACCAAATATTTAACAACTTACCCCAAATAAATGAATGAGAAAAAGAACAGCAACAATAGCGATGAAATAATAAGCCAGGCATGGATGACCTAGAAAAGAAAGTATTTCAATATAATTAACAGATCCTAAAGCCCTAAAGAACTGCAAATTTGTGGCTTCAAAAATAGTATGTTATTTCTGTATGTGTTATGCTTTTCAAATGGCAGAACACAAATGGCTTTGGATTCAGTGAATTCTTATACTAGAACTTTTGGGGCTGAACAACTCATACAGTAAATAGAAACTTCAGCAAGACATATATAAACCCTCATTCCTTTAGAAACAGGTGAAATTTTAAAAAGAACACATTCTAAAATATCGAATTATCAATAGAGTCAACAGTTGACATTTTAAACTTTAAAATAGCAATATTTTCAGTGGAGGAATTATGTAGTGTTTCTGACATAAACAATAAATAAATTAAATAAATAACTGATAAATAAAATTGAAAATCAGATATTCAGTTAGGTGACCTGTGTATGCATACTTTAACTGTACAAAGAAAATAGGCCTTCTAAACTATATAACCATTTGACAAAAGAATATTCAGAATCTGAAGTTTCAGTAAGTATTGCAATGCTTTCTACATTTTACATTGTTCATTAATAAGTATTACTATTATGAATTCTTTGAAACGCTTAGAATTCAGTCCATCATTATGCAGAATTCATACAGTACTATACACATATTACTCTCTATTACTCATGTATAGCTTATTAATGTGAGATAGAATCAGAATCTGATTTTTGTAATATATTACACATGAACATTTTATTTTATTTTTCTAATTTTTATTGGCGAATTGGGGAAGGCGAACAGTGTTGGGGAATTGGGAAAGGGAACCAGCCAAGTTGTCGTTCTTCAATCTTAGTTGTGGAGGGCGTCAGTCGCCATCTGGCTGCCCGTCAGCAGCTCGTGGCCTCTAAGCTCAAGGTGCTCTGTTCAATCTTAGTTGCAGGTGGGCGTAGCCACCATCCCACGCAGGAGTCGAACCAGCAGCCTTGTTGTTAAGAGCACACGCCCTATCCACTGAGCCATCCAGGCACCAGCTCAGCTCAAGGTACCAAGTTCAGTCTTACTTGCGGGTGGGCATAGCCCACCATTGAACAGGCAATCTTGTTGTTACACAAGCTGATGCATCCTGCCACCTGTTGGCAGCTCAGCGACAGCTCAGCTCGGGCACAGTGTCACTGGCCCATGTGGGAATCGAACCGGGGGCCCTGTTGCTCAGAGCTCACACTCTTAAGCCAACTCTTAACCAACTGAACCACTCGGCCAGCTCCCAAAAGGTGAACATTTTAAATGACAATTTTATGTTATAGGTATATTTGGGAAAATACTATACAACCCAAAAAGTACGAGGTTTTTAAAAACAGGGAAAAGTATAATCAAGTGTCAAGTAATTTCTAACCAAGAGTGAAAATATTAATATTTCGAGGTGGATACACCCATAATTTGCTTTAATCTTTCAGTGAACTTTATTGCTTAATGACAGAAGTTTCCAATGTTTACCAATGTTTCCAAAGATATCCCTTAACTAGAACAGATCAAATCAAACCTTGACGAAAGGAGAGAAAAGAAAGCCTCCAAATCAAGAATATTATTTCGTCTTCCTTTTTTTCTAAATCTCCCACCTCCACTCCCAGATCCAGTTGTTCCAATAATCAGGCTCTAAGCTATCAAAGTCTAGTTGTGATTAGAATCTATGTTAATTTTCTCTTGTGGTTCTGTTTTGATCACCCAAGGTTATTTGTGATTAATTCCTTTGAAAAAAAAGATATAAAAATTTCACTGACTCTTTAAAATTTATCAAATTTATTTTTTTTCTTCCACAAAAATTTCCCAATGTTTTATTATAAAACTTTTCAAACACAGAGCAAAGTGTAAAGGTTTTTACAGTGAACATCCACATACCACCTAAATTCTACCATTCACATTTTGCTATACTTGCTTTGCAACATTTCTATCCACCTCTTCATCCATTAGTCCATCTTATTTTTAATACACATCACAATAAACTGAAGATACCTGTATATTTCCCTCTAAACACTTCAACTTCAGCAAAATATTCTAAAGGGAGCCCTTACTCTATTTCTTCTGCAAAAAAACCAATACAGCTTAAGCAGAAAGAAATCTCCCCACCTGCATTCCACCTCATCAAGCTCACAGGTCTCAGCTTTAGAAATAATCCAAGTTACAAAACTAAAAAGCATACAAAATATTACAAGGCAGAAAAGCTTTCAAGATGTGTACTGGTATTTCATATTAAGCTCCACTCTCTACTGGCCAGCTATATTTCCTTCGCAATTTGTCTGCTTGGAATTTTTTAAATTTCTTATTAGGATGTTCATCATTTTCTTAATGATCTGTAAGTGATCTTTATATTGTAAGATTTACAACCCTTCCCTGTAGTAATGGTTGTAAACAGTTTTCCTATTTAAGTTGGTCATTTATGTTATCATTTTCTGAGTTATTACCTGAATTCAAAGTCTCTTCTGATGATGACTTAATCGCATCTCCCCTTTTTCTAGATCATCAGATTGTAAAACAAATCTTTCTCATCTTGCAAAAATCCCTAGTCAGCTTTCTTGTGCTAAAGGCTCTGAAAGAAAAGAGCCCTGCTTCAGTACAGAATAGCAAATGTCTCCTCTAAACCCTGAACTACCCAGGCCAGAAATCATGTGACTTTAATAAGCTATATATTGGGTTGTCGGAAAAGTCATGACATATTTTTTCTGTTTTTCATTGCAAAAATGTGTCATGACTTTTCCGACAACCCAATAGTTCCATCTACAACAAATAATAAAAACTGCCTTTTCCGTTTTCTACCTTTTGAGAAATAGAGTAAACAAATTGAGTCACTACAGTGAGGCTGCTAAATTACTAAAATCAAGTAGGTTGAGGCATGAGGAAATGGTTCTATTCTTGTTTTAACTAGCTGGGAACTTAAATTTAAATTTCCAGTCCTATTTCAATACCTGGATATATATCAAGCCTCCAGATAACCCTCTGATTACCTCCTGAAGGACTAAGGAAAGAATGTTTAGTATCCAGACATCTGACATCCATTATCCAGACCACATGTCATCTAGAGGATTACCATCTAGCACCAATCCAGAGGCTAAGAATGCAGAACTCACTCTTCTCAAGAATGTACTCTTTCTTTAAATAAGAACCCTCAGTTTTTCTTTCTTCTTTGGAACACTCAGGGTAGGGCCGAATGATGTTTCCAGTCTGCAAACCTTAAGACCCTTAAATAAGTCTTAACCATTTATTTCTAGCCAAAGCCTCCTGATTCATTTACACTCGGCTGACGATTTTCAAGGTTTGTTGGGTCTTTTAGCTTCTTGTGCTTCTTACAGGCATTGCACAACCAACCACTGACATAATAAATCCTCAGGGCTCATTTCCAGAAAACAGGTTCTGGCAAGTTTCTAAATTTCTAACTCAAAAGCTTTTACTTTATACTAGGAGTCAAAGTAAACAACTTGTTTTTATAGACTTGGCCTGTGCTTGCTAAAACTTGAACATTAAAAAAGCAAAACAACATAAATGAATGAGTAAATGTGAAAATCTGGCTGAATATAAACCTTTCAGATGGTCTAAAATGAAGCATAACTAAAAGATACACAAAACTGGGGCCAGCCAAGTGGCTCAGTTGGTTAAGAGTTGGATTAAGTGTGCAGTCTCTGAGCAACGGGGCCGCTGGTTCTATTCCCACATGGGCCAGTGACGCTGCACCCAAGCTGAGCTGTCGCTGAGCTGCCAACAGATGGCAGGATGCATCAGCTGGTGTAACAACAAGATTGCCTGTTTGATGGTGGGCTATGCCCACCCACAACTAAGACTGAACTCGGTACCTTGAGCTGAGATGCCATCCGAATGACTCAGTGGATAGAGTGTGCGCTCTTAACAACACGGCTGCCGGGTTCGACTCCCGCATGGGATGGTGGCTACACCCACCCGCAACTAAGACTGAACACAGCACCTTGAGCTTAGAGGTCACAAGCTGCCGATGGGAAGCCAGATGGCGACCGGCGCCCTCCACAATGAAGATTGAAGAACAACTTGGCTGGTCTCCTTCCCCAATTCTCCAACACTGTTCCCCTCCCTCAATTCCCCAATAAAATCTTAAAAAAAAAAAAAAAAGTACTTAAGACAAGAGCACATTTAATCAGTGGGAAGAGAATGCTTTCCAGCACGGCTTTACATCATTTGCCCTTTGGCTTTCTGAGTGATGACTACCTGTCATCATCATACACATAATCTTCTCCATATGCTAATGTCAGACTACAGAAGGTCACCACCTAGGTTAACACTTCTACGCACTCAAACGTTCAACAAGCAAGGTTAAAGTCTGTATAATTTTAGAGTTTGTGAACATTGAAGAGGTATTTAATCTTACTAGTAACCAACTAAATGCAAATTAAGACATTGTGTTTTGCCTATAAAAATTAGCACAGATTTTCAAAATTTTTTAAAGTCAATGCAGGTGAAGGCAAGGTAAGACAGATAGTCTCATTCACTACTAGTGTTAAGTACAAATTGATACTATCATTTTGAAAAAGGAATTCTGCACACCAAGACAGTTAAAAATATGTAAATAATTTGCCCCAAAAATTCTGTCTAGGATTTTACCCTAAGAAAATAATTTGAAAAATGAAAAAGCTCTATGCATAAAGACTTCCATTATTTTTTAGAACAGTGAAAAACTGGAAACTTAAATGTCCAACCTGAGGGAAATTAGGGGAAGTAAATTATAATATACCCATTGAGTCAAATATTATGTGGCCGTTAAGCCATATTTTCTAAGAATTTATAATACAGAAAATTGCTTATGCCAAAGTAAAAGTAAAGACAAGACACATACTAGGCTGGCCGAGTAGCTCAGTTTGTTAAGAGTTGGCTTGGGAGCACGAGCTCTGAGCAGCAGGGCCACCAGTTCGGTTCCCACATGGGCCAGTGACGCTGCGCCGTCTACAGCTAAGATGGTGAACAACAGCTCGACCTGGAGCTGGGCTGCTGTGAGTCGCTGGCGACAGCATAGGCTGCAGCCCCTACTGCAGTGGGCTGCTGTGAGCTACCATGAGTGGCAAGCAGCCAGTGTGAGCAGCAGGCAGCTGGCGAGAGCCGCTGTGAGCCGCTATCCAATAGCCAGCAACCAACTGCTTCACCTGGGAAGAGCGCAATGATCATAATACCAACATGGGCCAGTGAAGCAGCGTCCTCCACAAGTAAACTAAAGAACAAAAGGACAGCAACTTGTCTATTCCCCTTCCCCAATTCCCCAACGCTGTTCCTCTCCCCCAATAAAATCTTCCAAAAAAAAAAGACACATACTGATTACACTTTTTAACTATATTTAAAAATATACACAAATATATACTAGGGGGAAATAGAGTAGACTTCAACATTTGGAAAGTCAATATTTATTTGAGAATGACCCTAAAGGTTCATGACTGGTAATAATTTGTCATTTTTTTTGAGGCATGAATCTGGAACGTGTGCCCGGTGGCTGAAAGTCAGGAGTGAGTCACTTAGCTAGAGAGCAAGCTCAGAGAGCAGAGGCTGGGAAAGCTGGGTCTGTCTTTCCTGCACAACCTCCCCTGCCCTTGTTTCCCAAAGAAAGAATCAGTGCTACTGCAGGAGAGGCGGTGAGGGAACGACGACAGTCACCAATTTGGAAGTGGGAATATGGCCAGTTACCAATGAGTTTAAATCGGCATCTGAAGGTGGCCTGATTGTGCTGTACTCAAGTATGAAAATATGATTTTTTTTAAGTTATATGTTATTTTATGGGGACAAATATATTAAATAATGCTATTTGTGAATGAGGAAACCCTAAAAGTCTTAGGATATATGTCTTTGGAATGTTATATATATATCTCGCAAATCAAAACATTAAAACCATTTAGATTGTGACATGATATGAAAACATTTGTTTTCCATTTATGCACTTTTGTATTTTTCAAAGGTTCCACAACGAGAGGGAAAAAACTAAAAAACAACTTAGTTCAAGAATATAAGACCTTCGGGTCGGCTGAGTGGCGCAATGGTTAAGAACTGGCTTGGGACGCCAGAGGGCCCCGGTTCGGATCCCACATATCAGGGCCAGTGACACTGCCCTCCACAGCTAAGATGCTGAACAACAGCTCAACCTGGAGCTGGGCTGCCATGAGTCGCCAGCGACGGTGTAGGCTGCAGCCCCTGTGGCAGTGGGTTGCCATGGGCTACCGTGTGTAGCCAGCAGCCAGCGTGAGCGGCCAGCAGCCGCAGTGAGCGGCCGTCCAGAAGCCGGCGACTGATCTGCCTTGTCTGGGAAGAGCGCAATGACGGTGCCAACTTGGGCCAGTGAAGCAACATCCTCCACAACTAGACTGAAGAACAAAAAAACGACAGCAACTTGTCTGTTCGCCTTCCCCCAATTCCCCAGCGCTGTTCCCATCCCCCCAATTCCCCAATAAAAATCTTAAAAAAAAAAAAAGAATATAAGACCTTCTTCTTTACTAGACCAAGTAAGGTATGTGACAGGAAAATCTAGTCATAAAAAGCACATGGTGGAAAGCAAAGCTCTGTCTCTATGCTCACCTTGTAGCACCTGTATTTATATAGAGCCACCAGGAGAATAGTCATGACAACAATGACGCTGATCATGATAGCAGCATTCAGAATGGAGTGCAGGGCTCTCTGGCCCACAGTCTCTGTTTCCTCTGAGAACGGAGTATAGAGTCTATAATAAAACAAAATGCAAAAGCCCCAGGTAAGTGTTCATGGATAGATATTCCAAACCATATGCCCTCTCCAAACCGAGGTTTGTTTCCTTGATTTGACTGATACATCACTTTTTCCCATTTCATCATCTAGTCTAGAATTTTTACCCTAAGAAAAATAGCTAGCCTCTAAAATAAGTGCTTCAAAATAAAAGGAGATATCTAAAATATGGAGAGGTGGGCTTCCTTGTGAGCCAGACACTGGCTTCATCCAGTGGATCCTATATACTGAAATAATTACCTCATCAAATGTTTCCTCCACAACGTATTAGTGATTTGCTAAAGAACCAGATTCTGCCACATAAACTACCTAAGCTATAAGTGGTTGTCGGAGGAAGGTAATATAGCTTATAATTATTATCTTTCATCTTTAGGGTGACCGCAGCTGGAGTTGTCTTGAAATAATGCCATATGTCTATCTTCCCCTTCTTTCTTGTCCACATAAAAACACTTTTATTCTAGGTGCCAATGTTCCCAGCTAAAAGACTATTTCTGACTCTATGGTCAGGTGCGGCCATGAGACTAAGTAATGGTCAATGAGTTATAAGTAGGTGTGTTGTGTAGAACTTCTAAGAAAGGAGTTAATTCTGCTGAGAGATATGTCTTATTTTCTTTTCTCCCCCACTCCTTCCTGCTATCTGAATGAAGGCTAGGGCTCCAGCACCCATAATAACCTACAGTACAGACCCTGGAATAACCTAGAGTACAGTAGAGAAAGAAGAAAGGAGGGGCCTGAGTCCTTGATGAATGTGAAGCCACTACACCAATCTGGACTGACCCCCTCTGCACACTGTGGGAGAGAGATAAAATATGGTTATCATTTAAACCAGTTGTTTTGATTTTCTATAACAGGGTCAGCAAACTTTCAGTAAAGGACTAGAGAGTAAATATTTTAAGCTTTGTGGGTCATATGGTCTCTGTTGCAACCACGCAACTCTGCCATTATAGTATAAAAGCAGGCAGAGACAATATAAACTGAATGGACATGGCTGTGTTCCAATGAAACTTAATTTACAAAAGTAGGTCACAGGCAGATGTGACGTGTGGGCTATCGCTTGCTGACCCCTGTTCTATAATATATAGCCAAACCTAACTCTAACTCCCACGGAGACTATTCCTCAGTCTGTTTTGGCTACTGTCTCTAGTTCTTGCCCTTCACCCAGTTTTAGCCTTTCTCCCAAAGGTTAAAAGCTTGGCTTTCAGCCCGGTTTTTCAGACACTTGCCAGTTTCAAATTCTAAAATCCACTTAAAAGTTGAGTCCCATGAGAGTCAATAGACAGACAATAGAGACAGAACTCGATGACATATGAATCAAAGCATTTTTCTTGGAGGCAAAGGACCGACACCAACAGTGCCAGAAAATCCACATGACAGTTCTCCAAGAGTCTAGAGAGTGCCAGCTTGCATTAATTCTTCATCCTTTCAATTAACAACTTTTTTTTGCTGAGCATTTATTACATACCTCACCCAGGAAACAAAGTGGCCTGAGAGAACTTACAGCATAGAAGGAAACCAGGTACTGAATAAATAATGTAAATAAATATATGTATTTGCATATTACTACAAGTGAAAAAGAACAGGTTTCTATGAGAAAGAATACATACCAGGAAGTACCTGTTTCTGTTAGGAGGATCAGGGAAGTTATCTTTGGACTTAACACTTAAGCCAAAGTGAGAAGGATGATAGGAATTAATCCACCTAAGTTAGAAAAGGAAAGGATGTTCCAGGCAAAGAACAATAGGCCCAACGGCCGTGAGTTGGAAAGGATTACTATTCAACTCTTTACCTGCTCAATTCCAAATAAATTCAGCCTTTAGTGACACCATACAGGAAACATAGCTTTGTGGTTTTCATTTTCTCTACTTAAAAAGCATCAAGTAACAAATAACCCCTCAGTCTCTCAACTGCTTCTGACTGAAGAACTCTCTAGCCTCCATTCCCCTTCAGTACAGAGGCCTTCACGCTGTGAAGAAAAGCTACACGGGCCTTGAGAATAATAAAACAGAACACTCATACATACAGCTGCCCATCCTTCCGGGTGTAAAAGCTGACTGATTTGATGGTGGCCACCACTACCACCATACAGAGAGTCACGGGGACAAAGAGCATGATCACGTGTTTGGCGCCATATTTCAGTGTCAGCTCCTCATCTTCTTCATCATCTTGTTCCACTGCCTGCAGTGTGTCACCCTGAGGTCCTCCGTTAGACACGGGCTCAGGGTTGCCGCGCCTCCGCCTTTCGCTGCTGTGCTCATGCCGTTCTCTACTGTCATTCTGAAAGTACAAGAAAAACTTTCAGTAAGTCAGACTCTCAGGAGAATTAAGGTATTCTATATCAAAAACAGAAAATGTTAACAGTTGGACCTGAGATTAACAGGCACACCATTACTTGAATTCTAAAAACCTGAGGCAAGAAAGAACCCATTTACAAGAAGTGCACAGTTAAGAAATCTAGCTTATTTACCACTGTTCACTGAAGGAATCCAGGTCCTCCCCTTCATCTGGGTCTCAGCTTACCGCCGTCTCTCTTTCCATTCCCAACCTAATACAAGTATACTCATCCTTTGAGGTTTGGCTTAAAACTGACACCTGCATGAAACCTTTATTTGCTGCAGCTACAAGCAGAGTAATCTTACGTTTTCCAAATTCATGAAGTGCTTTCTATCTGCGGCTTTATACCAGTTATTCAAGAAGCTATCTCACCTTCATTGTTAAAAAGACTTAAAATCTTTTTAGTGATGTACAAGGGATCTCTCTGAATTATTTCTTACAACTGCCATGTAAATCTACAATTAGCTCAAAGAAGTATTCACTTTAAAAAAAAAATCTTTACAGAGAAAACCTAGGCCTAAAACAATTCTGATATCCCTGCCCCATTCCCACTGTGCCCTCTATAGAGTAAGGGGACAATAATACTTGATGAATGACAGGATGAAATGAGAACCTTTCTTAGATTCTACTTTCCTCAGACTCTTAATCCAGACACCATTTTATTGCCTTTATCCTTATCTTGGGTTTATCCTTTCCTATTCTTCAAGTTCAATATCCTTTTTGGTATCTCTGCTCATATTTAAAACTCAGTTTTTGTAAAGGGTAGAATGAATCCCAAAAGAACTAACAACGATAAAAATGATAACAGGAAAAATAACAGGTATTCCTCCTCCTCACAGATAATAGAACAGGAGATAAAAGTAGATCGATAGTCACTGCTGCTGGTTAAGATATCATCAGCTTGGTTAAGAAAGGGTTCTCTTAGAAAGATCATGTGAGAACATGACACTCTTGTACCTCATTTTTTACTACAGAGTATAACTATTACTATAGAATATTATTATTATTCATTAAAAATACATTGCACTTAATAATAGCTTAAAATTTTTACACTGCGCCAGGGATTGATATGCGTTTTACATTTAATTCTCATAGCCACCCCATCATCACCACTTCACAGGTAAGGAAATAGCCACAGCTAATAAGTGTCACAGAGCGGGTTTGAACCCAGGTGTGCCTGGCTGCAGAAATCAAGTTCTTAACCATCTCTATCTGCTGTTCACAAGACATCAGTGAGCTCTGCAGGCTCAGTGTGGGCCAAGTTCTCTTTTACTTTACTTTCAATATATGCATCTCACAGGTAATTTTCCAAATTCTATATTCCAAGTACTATTCTGTGGCAATACTGAAATTACTAGGATCTAAATGCTATCCTTAAGAAGTTCCTGGGCCGGCCGAGTGGCTCAGTTGGTTAAGAGCTCGCTCAAGAGTTTGAGCTCTGAGCAACAGCGGTTCGCTGCCCGGCCCGAGCTGAGCTGCCGCTGAGAGCTGCCAACGTGTGGGGGGGGGGCAAAAAAAAAAAAAAAAAAAAAGAAGTGGTCTTTTGAGCTTCCTTTGCTCGGCCTGATCCAAACTCTTTGGAGTGTACTTTCTCTTCTAATAATGGTCCTTGGGCCATTCTCTACAGCTCGGGCCCGCTTCTGCTTCATTGAAATGTATTTTTACTTCTAATAAACTCCTTTTTTGCAACTTAAAAAAAAAAGTTCCTAAGTTAGTTTTAATATAGACTATATTAGAGATCATTCTCAAGTGCTACAAGGCTATAATTCTATGTGGTCAAGGAAGGAATAAAACATGATTCTTGAGCAGAAACTTCAAGGGTGAGTAGAAGGTGCACGGGCTCCAGGCAGAAACACCGTGAGTCATGGCACAGAGGTGTGGAAGGGAAGTGCAAGGCCTAGGCAGAAAACCAGGGAGCACTCATGAGGTGGCTGGAGAAAGGGTTTGTCAGGGTCGGTGGCAGAAAAGGTTAGGAACAGGTTGTAAAGAACCCTGTTTGCCATGCCAAGGACTTTAGACTTTGTCTTACCAGCAATACAAAGTCATAAAAACTGTCAAGTTTGAGGACGTGACACATCAGATTATGTTCCATTTTTAAGAAGCTTGTCTGAGTGGCGATGGAAAATAGATGTGTAAGAAAGATATTTCAGAAGCAGAATTGACAGGACTTTGTGGCAAATTACATGTGAATGGTCAGGAAGAAGTCAAGGATGACTTTAGAGGTTCCTAGCATAAGAGACTAGGAGGGTGATGATAACGCTGCTCGAGATGGGGCACACAAGGAGATGAGCAGGCTGGAGGGGGAGAGGCACTTTAATTAGGGAGATAGGTTAATTTGAAGTACCTGCAACCAGCCAGGAAAGTCTAAAGGCAGTTAAGAATTTCAAGCTCAGAAGAGAGTTGGGGGAAGTCATTAGTTTCTGTAACTTTGGAAAAGCATGAATAGGAAGTAGGAACAGTACGAACTTGTTGGACATTAATGCACTATAACAGCCATGGAAGGAAAAATACAGAGGGAGATAGACTATAACCAAGAAGAGAAGTGTGAATAAGCCCTAAACTTAAGCAGCAGGAGACAGGAGAAACCCCACCAAAAGAGATCAAGAAAAGAACAGAGGAGAGGGAAGAAAACCAGGAATCAACGTGTCACAGAAGCCAAAGGAAGAGCACATTTCAGAAAGGTGTCATCAACAGTCAGGCCAAATGAGAGCTGAAAAGGCACTGCATTTGACACTGGGGAGTTCACCAACCTCTTCACACAACTAAAACAGGTAAGAGGGAAGTCAGATTATAAATCATTATGGACCGAGCAACAGACAGAAACTGAGAAATTAAAGGCAATCATTTTTTGAAGAAAAAAATGATATGATGAAAGAAGGGATTCAAATTGAAAAAGTTATTTTAGGGATGTTAGAGTCTTGTGCATACTTGTCAGGTCAAAGTAAAGAATTAGGATTAGAGGAAGAGACTGACAATACAAGACGGGGATGAGAACTAATGTAACGGGGTGGGAATAAATGCAGAACAAAAAATGACAGAAGAGTTGCCTTACAAAGGCATTGGTACCCTCTACCTCAGTCTGGAGGTAAGGAAGTAACTCTGACTTCATGGAGAAAATATTTATGAAGACTGAAACCCTATGAGAAATGGAAAAGAAACTATTCCAAAAGGTAAAATACATACACCACTCACCAAGAAAAATAATTTTTGCCAAACACAAATCACTAGAGTGGCCAAAGTCAGGTAGGAAGGAAATGGTTATGAAGAAGGTGGGATTTAGAGGACAGAGGCATCGTGGGATAGCTGAGGAGGACAGCTGAGGGAATTCATCACTCTGTTTTCTTAGGAGGAGGTGACAGCCATATGCTAAGAATGTTATGTTTGTGACTCAGTAATATAATTATGAGAACTTGATGGGTTGATTCATGTTCAAAGTAAACTAAAATACAGTAATAATAGCTCTCTATATACACTATTTATTTACAAAGCACTTTCACATTATCTCATTTATTCTTTTCATATGTTGAGAGGTTTTGGTTGGTAGATGTACACCAAAGCAACTTGTCCAAAATCTTGGCCAGGAAACAGCAGATGCAGGAATCAAAGTCAGGTCTCTTGCTTCAAAACCTGTGTTCTTTCTGTGGCACCACTGCTGTCCTATTAGGCTACAGAACAGTTTAATTAGGTTAAGTCTAGCATGAAAGAGGCAATCATAATATGCTCATTCACATCACTCAACTGGATGTTCTGGTTTATAATGAACATTAACCAACTCCGCCCTGCCCCACCCTCGAAGCTGATATGCGAATAGTAGAGCAGGGTTAAATACACATACCCTTCTTTATAGTACTTTGGATTCTGTTTTTAAAACTCAGTATATGTTTTCTTTTTTTTTAAGTACTATTTATTTATTTAAACAGGTAAAACATTCACCTTGTTGTAAAGTTAGAGTATCAAAAGGTGTGCAGTAAAAAGTCTCCCACTTAACTACTTATTTTCCTAACCTCCCAGTTTAACACTGTCATTGTTCTCTATAAATCCTATTCAAGTTTCTTTGTGTATATACAAGCAAATACAAATATATATTCTCATTGCCCTTTCACACAAATGGTAGTAGCACAATAAATGCACTGTCCTGCACTTTGCTTAACTACATATTGTAGAGACTTGCTTTTACACATCAGTATGCAAAGAACATCCCTATTCTTTAAAAAAAATTTTTTTAGCCAGCTACATAGCCAGTGTATGAATATATCATAATTTATTAGGCCAATCCCCTAACGATGGACATTTAACTTGCTTCCAACTTTTTGCCATTACAAACACTGCTGCAATGAATGCCGCCTATAAGCTATTTCACACATGTGGGGGCTTATTTGTAGGAGAAATTCCCTGAAGTAAAACTGCTGGGTCAAAGTACATATGTATTTGAGATACTGATATATACTGCCAAATCACCCTCCCTACGGGTTGTACCACTTTAAAAAGTAACGTAGGAGAGTGCCTATTTCATCAAGCCCTTGTCAACACAGTAAGCTATGAAATGCTTGGATTTCTACCAATCTGATAGGTGAAATACGGGATCTCAATGTAATTTTAACTTCTATTTCTCTTATTACTAGGAAAGAAGAGCATTTTTTTCTATGAAGTATTTATTCCTTTGCCATTTTTCTATTTGGCTTATGGTACTTTTTTTTTTAAGTTTCTAGGTATAATTACCATGCTTACTAATTAATTAAAAAACAGTGAATGCCAGCTATGTACTAGGTGCCAGAGATATAGCAGTCAACAAGACAGATAAGGTTTCTGCTCTCATGAACTGATTTCAAGTGGAGGGAGACACATAATAAGATAAATTACAGAATGGAATAGTACTATAGCAGGGTGATGTGATAAAGAATACGTGGGATGGGACTACTTTTAGATACTATAGCCAGAGAATA